CAAAATCTCCACTGGCACCCTGTGCTCTTCACAGATGAAAGCAGGTTCATACTGAGCACATGTGACAGACGTGACTGGGTCTGGAGACGCCGTGGAAAACGTTCTGCTACCTGCAACATCCTCCAGCATGACCGTTTTGGCAATGGATCATTAATGGTGTGGGGTGGCATTTCTTTAGGGGGCCGCACAGCCCTCTATGTGCTCACCAGAAGTAGCCTGACTGCCATTAGGTACCGAGATGAGATCCTCAGACCCCTTGTGAGACCATATGCTGGTGTGGTTGGCCCTGGGTTCCTCCTAATGCATGACAATGCTAGACCTCATGTGACCTCAGTTCCTGCAAGATGAAGTTATTGATGCTATGGACTGGCCTGCCTGTTCCCCAGACCTGAATCCAATTGAGCACATCTGGGACATCATGTCTCGCTCCATCCACCAATGCCACATTGCACCACAGACTGTCCAGGAGTTGGGGGATGCTTTAGTCCAGGTGTGGGAGGAGATCCCTCAGGAGACCATCCGCCACCTCATCAGGAGCATGCCCAGGCATTGTAGGGAGGTCATATAGGCACATGGAGGCCACACACACTACTGAGCCTCATTTTGACTTGTTTTAAGGACATTACATCAAAGTTGGATCAGCCTGTAGTGTTTTTTTCCACTTTAATTTTGAGTGTAACTCCAAATCCAGACCTCCCTGGGTTGCTAAATTTGATTTCCATTGATAATTTTTGTGTGATTTTGTTGTCAGCACATTCAACTATGTAATGAACAAAGTATTTAATGAGAATATTTCATTCATTCAGATCTAGGACGTCTTATTTTTGTGTTCCCTTTATTTTTTTGAGCAATGTATATTAGCCAAACCCATAATGAAAACAACCTTCCCGTCCAGATTATTTGAAAAAACACCTCATAGTTCAGGGCTATCAAATTCGCTACCCACGGCTGGATGCGTCACATGCTGGCCACACCCACACCTGGTTTAGCAAAGGGGAAAAAAGTCACAATATGAGGACACTATGATGATGAGTTTGACACCTGTGTCATAGAGTCTGTGAATTCTGGGACTGAGCTAATGTACTGCATTAAGACAGAGTGGCTTTGGCTTAAGCCACTCAATTGTGATTTACTCAACAAACCATAGTTAAACAAATCTCGGCTTGGGGTAAATGTTGAAACAAACAGTGATCCCAACACATGTGGATGGTAACAGGTTGGAGCAAAGTGATTATAGCTAAAATATCCTCAAACCAATGTCCCTTTCATATTTGACCATTTGTTCAGCAACATTCAAACTATCCTTCACAATTCATTGTCAGATTCAAAAACAAGAGTTGAATGTAATTGAGGGCTACTCTATCACAGGCCTTATCTAGTCAAGTCATCCCATGTAATACTTCCATGTAAATGCCCAGCAACCAGAAATCATACTCTAGCAAGTTTGGATTAGCTATTGATCTAAAGAAACTGTCTCTAATTGATTAAAACATACTCTTAATATGGTGGAAATTTAGATGACAGTTGTTGTTAAATTCTATATGTGAGCTATTTCCATACAGAATTGATTAGTACTTCTTTAGGAGACCACCACGAAATCTTGGAATAGTTGAAACAACACCCCAGAAGGCAACTTTGGTATTGTTCCCAGAAAACAATATGTGTTCCTTAAAGCATCAGGAATCAAGTTTAGCTGTGGGGTAACTTTTATCTGTATCGTACATATATGCAGAATACTGTGCCATATCTTGGACATACAGTCCAATGTTTTCTGTGGGAAGGCTTAGGATAAAATCACAACTACATTCTGCAAAAAGAGAATTAAAATGCAAGTGTCTTGATAATGAGCCATCATGAAAATCATCCAGGACAGGAACAATATTGTTTCTAGGTTGGGATGGAAGTCTCTGTGAGAGCTGCAGAACTAGAAATTGCTTTTATGTGTTCAGTGCCAAGAGTCTTGCCTTATTTTAGATATAGATGTACTGACCTTCAATTTCATAAGAAACTATTTTTCTGAATCAGGCCTGCTACCAGCAATTGAAAGGTAAATAAAGTATGTTACAGTTTCCTTTCTGTCAATTGTTATGCCAGTAATAACTAGCAAGGTTATCTGTCTAGAAATCATGGAAGAAATCTGTACAACAAAAGTATGTTCTTTTTTAAGTACAAATTACTTGATTTTCTATTTTTGTTGTCATTATACTACAACTAGAGAACAAATTTTGCATTTTGATCTATAACTCCCCAAATAATACAATTTTACATAACCTTATTTATATACCACTTTTACTTCTAGGTACATGCAAGCACTTATGCAGAGTATATGTAATATAGTGTACATATGTGTGCAGACAGCTTGTTGGCTCCTGTAAACTGGAAATTGTTCTTTTTTGATTCTTAATCAGTTTCAATTCTTAATCAGTTTTTAATCATACAGCTGTGATCAAGTGCTCTAACTTACTATTTATCTTCAAGGGAGAAAAAATTGAAACATGGTTGGGAAAAAAAATCCCCTCAAAAATAAAAACATAATAATTAAAAAAATAAATATTACTAAAGTTTGCATTCTGTTAAAATCATTTTCACATCCAGGAATTCAAATGTTTGCTTTACATTAAGAAACTGGGTTCTTTAACAAAACAACTCTGTCTTGCTGTTGATGGGGGTGGGGGTGGAGGAATTGTTCTATATTCAATTTATACAAAGGCATTACTAAGATGCCTAAAACAACATTAAGATGTTGTTCACCTTTATGTTGCTGAGAAAGCATGCTTTGCATCATTGGGTTGAACTTTAAAAAACTGACAACCTTCTTTACAAAAGAAAGCAATAAAATTCTTGTCTGATTAGAAGTTGCCTCTACTTGAATCTTCCAGGAGGAAAAAATGCTGAATAGCAACTAGCTTTATGTCATCATTAAACTGATTCCTTCACAAATAGTGTAGTGCTGAAGACGGTAGAAAGCACTACCCCAAAAATATTGCTAGTGAAAATAATTTTACTTTGAAAAAAAATTCAAGGAAAAATATAGGTTAAGTTTTAAATTAAAAACAATTTAAAAGTTTTACAATAGTTGCTTCCGAAACAGAACAAACATGTTTTATTGCATATACTTGTAACTGGCAGATCAAACAAGATGACAGGGTTTTTTTAAAAAAATCTTTTTAAAAATATATATTTTTTAAAAAAGATTTCTTGATATTTTGAACACTAAAGATAATGCAGTTTGAAACCTATTTGGGTGTTACAGATTGTACTCAAATACCTAGACACACTTATGCCAACATTAGAATGATCTACATACAAAAATATAACCTCATTTGAGTGGTGGAATAGTATTAGCCAGCTGTGGAGAGGGATGTTAGAAGCTTGGAAAATAACTCCCGCTACATCTAATACAATTTTTGAGAAAAATCATGCATAAAAGCAAAAAGAGGATCTGAGGTCAGGAAATAATAATGACACTGATGTATGTGATTTGAGAGGTAATAACATCACGGGGATCTGTATTTTGCTGACTACTCTGCTATTGTACAGTGTAACTCATAAATGCAACAACAGAATCAACTCGGGCATTTTGCCAATATAGGAACAGACACACAAGGGCTTTATGAATCCAATATTTTCAAAAGAAACACAAACATCTGATCGCAGCCCTGTCCCCAAAAGTGATCCGCTCCCATTCCAACCTGGCGAGCTTTAGAACAGAAAAAGTCGAACTTTGCGTGTGTCTTCAGTCCCCCGCGAGTTTGCGCGCGCTTCACTTTCTAGATCGCAGCAAACACTTTCCCTGATTTTAAAAGCCAGCTTTGCTTTTACTAGGGAAAGGAGGAAAAACCGCTCGCGATGAGCAGGACTCGTCCGCACAAGAACGTAAACAGCCAACTCTCTCTCTCTCTCTCTCTTGTTCCACTGCAGCGTCTGGAAAAACGCGCGGGCGGGGATAGCACCCCCGGGGCCTTCTGAAGGAAGGAAAAAAAACAAACATCGCCGTTTCGTAGGTCCGCTGGCGGGTGCCTTATAAAGAAAGCGGGCCAGGGTGCTGCTCTCCGGATGGATCTCCCTTTCTTAAGCAATTAAGGGGTACTGCTACTGTCTTGAAGACCTCCCTCCCTGGGTCCCCCCACCACCACTCTTTTTTCCTGGCAGACTCTTATTATGGACGGCCAAGCAGAGCTCCAAGTGGGATGAGGGCCCAACTTGAACACAATTTAAGAATAAGCGAGTGCAGCCCAGAGACCATGCAGCCTCCTCCCCTCTAGCCCAAAAGCGTCTCTCGTCCGAGGGGTGGGCAGCAAAGGAAGACAGCGCTTTTGATCGAGGGAATCCCCCCCCCCCCACTTTTCATTCGTCGGGGAAGAAGGATGAAGCTACTTGGGCCGGGCGGTCGTCCCGCAAAGGGAGGACGGACGGAAGGAATATAGGCTTTTTTTCCTCCCAGATGGGAGCACCACTCCGGGAGCACCGCTTGCTTTCCTTCCTTCTCGCTCGTCCCGCAGGAATATGAGGAAAAGACGGGCACTTCGCGCTTCTCCTTCGCCTCAGGAGATTCTGGGCTGGGTAGCTGGAGGCGTTGCCTTTCGACTCCTCGTGGAGCGAAGATTTGGCCAGCCTAGCTGCTGATTGGTGGCTTCACCCCCACCCACCCACCCCCTTCTCTTCTTCCAAAGAAACATGTCAGAGCTTTCTTTCCCTGCTACAAACTCGCCTACTGGAAACAGGCACTCCGAGAGAAATTACAAGAGAACCTGAGACCGGCCGCAACCTGACGCTTCCTCCCCGTTTATTGGACGAGTCGTTTAGCTCCGCCTCTCCAGATGGAGCGATTCGTTGTCCGGCGGCCGTGATTCTGCTTTCTCTTAGGTTGGCGCGGCCTGCCAGTCATTTTGAAGGACGGGCTGTTCTTTCTCCATTGGTCCTGCCCCTTTTCTTGCCTCCTCCTCCTCCCCCCCCCTACGCCTATTGATATTATTGGAGTGTTGGAGCGAACGGTTTGGTCTGCAGTCGGAGACTCGCAGGCAGCAAAGACGGAGAGCGAAAAAGCGAACCGGGCAAAGCGAGAAGGGCAGCCGCGAAGAGCTTGCGTGAAGAGCACTGCACATTAAAACACACCGCAGCCGGGAGCCCTTAGATACGCACCGAGCAGCGGTAGCAGCAGCACGAGCCAGCCGCGAGGGCAAGCAGAAGCAAACGCCAAGCGCAGTCTCTTCTCTCTCTCTCTCTCTCTCTCTGAATGTATATGCATAATATCCTTAGCTTGATTTAAACATCTCCAGCTCACGCATCATGGTTTTTCAAACTAGGCTCCCTTCTTGGATTATTTTGTGTAACATCTGGCTGCTTCAGTTTGCACACACGGGGGAGGCACAGGCTGCAAAAGAAGGTAAGATGATGCTGGCCACAAAGTTTATCGCTGCTTTTTCTTTCTTTTCTTTTTGTCTTTTTTTTTTCCTTCTCCCCTCACGCTACGGGGGCTTTTTCGGGACCGTTCTCGAGAACGCGACTTTGCATGCCGCTTCCCTTGGCTCCCGGTGCCATCCAGACGAAAGGAGAGCGTCGGGCACCTTTCGCCCCGTGACGAGCGCCTCTCGCTCATGTCCTCCCTTCACGAAGTGAAACCCCCTCCCCCCCCACTCCCCACCCAGGAATTGATCAGGAAGGAGAGATCGGGATCGCGACCCGATTGTGTGTTTTGCATCCCAGACCGCGGCGCATTTTCTGAACTGGGTTAGCTGCGCGAGGGGGCCGCACGTGATTAAAAAAAAAGGGGGGGGTCTGGGAAGGCTTGGAATCTCCATATACGCCAGTTTACGAGAGCGGTGGGGGAGGAGGGGGGAGAGCTGTGCTGGGATTTTCGGATAGGTTCCTCATACCAGGGTTCATTTAATAGATTGATAGATGAACCCTCTCACCTCTGGAAACGCACCCGGCTACCAGGCGATTACCTCCCGGCTTCCTACACCGCCAGAGTTCGGGATGGGGAGGATTGGGGGACGGGGGTTTTGGTATGAAGCGAGCGACCTGTTCCAGGACTGCAGAGGAGTTTCGGCCCCTAAGAATCTGTCGTCTAAGGATTAGGGAGGGTGGGAAAGTAAAACTGCTTTTCCTTTGATAGCCACCCGTGTCACCTGTAATGGCCAATAATAAAGGCCATCTGTTCGTTTTGTGCTGGTGGCGTGGTCACATCTCGCAAGGCACGGAGTTTTTTTAGCAAACGCAGAGAGCCCGCGAGTAGAAATATTTGCCTCACGTACGCAGATAACGCCGCGTATCTCTATATAAATACCGCGTTCTAAAGGACGCTGAATGGGGGCATTACGGCCTCCCCACCCTCAATCCGTCGCTCTGTACCTACTATGCTTCTGTGTATAGACCGATCCATCAACGTATTTTTTTTTTATTTTTTGCAAGAGCGTCGGAGCTCCGAAAAAGCCCCATTAACGCCAGATCTGTTTTAAAAGGGACAAGAGCTTTTGAAGGCAGTGTTTCTCGCAATAGGCAAAAGTCGTACGTTTTCTTACTTGGGGAGAATAGAAACGGCGTTAAAGACCGATATAATGAATTGGGCGGGGGGTAGGTTGAGACAGCCCCCTTTCCGCATCCGGAGAGTTATTTTTTTCTCCCTTTGTAAGCCATGGGGAGCATCGAACAAGCACGCTTTCCACTATCAATTGGAAATGGGAAAGAGAGGCTCTCGGAGATGAAATAAAATGGTTATACGTAAAATGGAAGTCCATATGCATGCGTATGCTGGGGAATGGGAATCAAGCCCTCTAGCAAACTTTATCTGAAAGATGAAACCTCTTACCTCGGGAAAGGAGAGGAGGAGGGCAAGAGGCGGCTGAGTAGGGGGCGAGATGTGTGGTGCAAAGGAAGCGGCACCTTCCCTCTGGAGTCCTGGAGTGTCCGTGGGAAGTAATTGAAGGTGTGTGATTTCACATATGCTGTAGTGCTACTTTGAAATCGCCTGCTAATTGAGGAACTAGCTCTCATTTGGATCGAGCACAGAAAAGGAGTTTGTATAGGAACGAGCCCTGATCTCTTGAGAACTGTCACGTTTACCTGTGCAAGGCAGACTCGCAAAACTTTCCAACTTTCGGAGTTGTGCTCGGGCTCTGGATACTTAAGAAGGGTCCCGATCGTCAGTTGCTCGCATCTGCTTTCTTCCTCCTTAGGAAGGAAAAAAAAGTGCCTATGAGAAATAGGAGTTCAGGTGGGTTTTTTTTTTTTAAGAAAGGTTAAGAAGCCCTCGTGAGTGTGTGGTTTTCACCGTGTGGTGATTCCACACTGGGAATCAGAGTTGAGCCAAAGGGCGCTCCCGCTGAATAGGGCAAAGAAGAGCGAGATAAGCAAAAAAAGAGGCTCATTGAAGTTACTCCGGCGGCGCTTTTTCCCTCGGGACCGGTATTCGAAGGGACCTGTAGGCGAAGCCCCCGGCACGTCTCAGGTGCTGCGTCGGGAAAAGTGGAGTCAGCGGCGGTGGAGGTGTGTCTGTGAGACGCTCTTTTAGCAGCTTAGGGGAAACGCGGGAACTGGCAGCTTCTTGCAACAGCTCAGACCAGGAAAAAAAAGGGGGGGGGAGGGATGAGAAACTCCTCCGCGCTTCGCTCAGCGGGAAGAGGAAGCGCAGTGTGGGTGGAAAAAATGGCTTTCAGGCACTTGGAGGTGAGATGCTGCTCTCCCTTTTAACGGGAGGAGTAGCCAGGTGAAACTAGGACTCCCTCCCTCCCTCCCTCCCCCCCCCATACTTTCTTGTCTGCTTTCTCTTTGAGAACCTAAGGTCTCCTATGGCTGTGTTTATGGACTGGGTATCTCTTCTTTATAAGCAGACTTCATTCTTCTTTTAGAAGTTCTGTTAACTGACATGGGCACAGAGGCCTAAGTGGGGGAAATTAGTAATAAGGAAGGGTTTCGGGCCACATGCAATGCGACACTCGCTCACTCCCCAAGGAATTCTGAAAGGCATAGCTGCTGCTCTTTAAGCAAATACTCAAGAGGTGGACTGTGGCACTTTAGGTCTGAGGGAATCTGAGATTTCCTCCTGTCCAGACCACTAACCACCATCTGCTCCCTGCGTAAAATAAAGGCATGCATGACCCAAAACTGATCATATGGCTTCCCCTCAGTTTTCAGTCACTGAAACTGAACTGGGGGGAGGAGGGCACTATGCTTTCCTGAGAAAATTAAGCATCTAACATGTTGGGTTATCCTGTCACACTGTGTCTTTTCTGTGTGGTTTTGTTAGAGGAGAAAAAAAAACATGTATCTTCCCTTTTTTGGAAATCAGCATAATAAAAGAATGCATTGCTTTGTTCTAGTGACATTTTGAGATCCTACCATTTGATTTTTGAAGTAAGTTTGGTGTTGGTGCAAGTGTGTGGTGCAGATTTGATAGGATTTATCTTCTACCCACCCCCATTTTCTGATAATGATTTGAGTCGACTGGTTCAAAGGTGTCTCTTCTGAAAAGAAAAAATTCTGCTTAGAACCCTTAGCAGAAACTTTAGGGAACTCCACTGTCAAGAATAAATAAAAGGATTCCTCAGTACTTGCAAAAGACTTCAAGAGAAAGTTGCTGTTCATCTTTCAGTGTCTTAGAAGAGTTCTCCTAACTTTTTCTCAGCACACATTGATATTATTAAAATTATAGTTTTGTGTGTTTAGGAAGATTTAAAAAAAGGTTTTACTTTTCACTTTTAAGTTTTGGAATTGGTTTAATTTGATACTAGATGTGTAAACTATTTAAAAATTACAATTGCTCTTCAGTATGTTTCAAAGGCATGAAGTGGATAAATATGTAGAATGCCTTTTCTTTAGCTGAATTTATTAGCCTGGTTTTTCTTAAGCAATCCAATACATAACCCCTTTATCAATTTCTTTTAGAAACTATTAACACCGTAGAAGGGATCCCTTAAATATCTGGATTAATTAGTGATATAATTATGTAGAAATGATGCTTTTTGTATGAAGCCTAACTTCCTTCACTGAGAAAGCGTAAAATTGTATCAAAGGTACACATGAGATTTTCTCAGTATGTTTTCACAGTATGTAAGACTGCAACCCTTTATGCCTATTTGCAAATACTATTGAAATCACTGTAACTCTTAACTTTCATATGCACATGTGATCAGGCTATGTACATAACCCTTTTAAACTATATTATTATTGCTGTTATTAGAGTACTATAAAGTTAATGCTTAAATCCACTCTTGAATATTATTATTATCGAGATTTGTTTTATACAGAGTAAGAATCAAATATTACAAAAATATTTTAAATTTAAAACTGAGAACATCTATATATTTGTTAATAACAGTTATTACTATTGAGTGTAATGCCTGTATATGTTTTATATTAACATTAATTGAAATATTTTTCTTAGAATAGTAGGTGATAAAATGTACCTAGTTATGATGACAAATCAGTGAATAAATATCAGATTAATATAAATGGCTCACAAAATGATGCTGTTGAAATAATATTTTAATTATTAATCTGATTGTTAGCAGTTTCAGCACTAACTGACAGTTTGGGACGTCTTACAAAATAACACAAGTAATGTGTCAACAAAGTTGTACAGTTTTGTTTAGATACATTCTTTGCTGAATAAGTGTGAAAATTGAATACTTACTGATTTACTAACCTTTTTATGTTTATGTTATAAATTGGAGTGAAATGTCAGAAAGTACTGTTACTTTAAATATTACATTTCATTTAGAACAGTACATAAGTTGGTTTACTAATGTAATTTGTGTCATGAAATAAAGGTTGAATAGATTTCATATTAAAAAGTTACTGTTACAAAGACATTACAGAGATCCCTGCCACTTCCTTTACATTTCCTTTGGTTTATATTACCTAGTAAAGTATCCTTGTGAAATCAAGTCACTTTTCAGTATGTTCAGCCAGCTGCTAAGATACTAATTTCTTCTTGAATAAAAACATGGACGCAAAGTAGATCAATGCCCTTAGTTTACAAACAATCAGCCTGAATGTACAATTCTTAAAATACTTTAACACAGATATTTTTTTTCTTTCAGTAATATTGCTGGATTCTAAAGCACAACAGACAGAGTTGGAATGGATTTCTTCTCCTCCCAATGGGGTAAGCATACCATTTAAATCAAAATCCAAAATTAAAATGAGTAGTTTAAATGAACTTGTTCAAAATTCCTTGAAGAAAACTTATGATGAAAAAAATTCTGTTGTGAAAAGCATTGTGATTCAGATATAAACTTATATATATATATATATTCTTAGCTGTTAAAAGCCTTAAACTATGGCATATCTCAAATAACTTTTTTAACCTTGAATAATAATATTTCAATTTTCATTGTTAAAAACAACTTTACTGTTCATAATGTTAAACATTATTTGTATCATTCTATGTAATTAGTATATAATTATATTCTATTAATACATCATTAAAATTTAAGGTTCTTAAATATTATTGTAAAGTTTCTAAACTCAAAGCCAATTTTGCCGGCTTTAAGGCAGAAATTTGTATGTTTAATTCACATTTTTTTCAAAGCAAGGTAATCTTGCGGATTTCTGAAATTATCATAAATAATTGTTTATTGATTTAAATAATTAACTTTCAGACTTGGAATTCATCTACTCTTAGGCTTCATATTTTTTCGACCCTTGTAGTGAAAGGACAGCATAATTTTGAATAATATATAATTATTTCAAAGATTATTTAAGTAGCTATGACATGACTGAGTGCATTAGCTTTAGAAACTGCAATCAAATAAATACTGTATTTTCTAAATTCTCTCTGAAACTTGATTATTTTAACTAGACTTCTACCTATCATTTAGAGTAGTTCATATTAATACAGGTTTTAAATAAAAGTTTATACAATGAAGCCTTTAATCTGGCACTTATAAAGGAAATCTAGAACCAAAAGAAAGTGAATTCTGAGTGGGGATGTAGAAGTGTGACAAATCCTGTAAGTAAAAAGAATGAAAACTTGAAAGTCTGTTAACTAAAAAATAAAAATCATAAAATCAACCCAGGCACTGGGTGGAAACAAGTCTAATGGTTTTTGGAATGTATAAAATGTTAGCTGAATGCTCAAGATGAGAATTAACTTGAGTATTAGCTCTTCAAACGGAAGGAAGTCTTTTAAAAAGAGATTTAGAACAATTTAAGAATAAACTGTAATAGTCCAGCTTTGAAACAATACAAGCATATGCATGGTTCAGAGAGTAAGAGATAAAAAAGTTGAAAAGTAATCCAAATATAAATCAGGGATGGGTAGTGCCTGATAATTGACAATTGTTTATATACTCTATTGTATACATTAAAATATAATATACTTTTAGATGACCAAAATGATGCAATGAAGCGGATAGTTAAACCACTGGGAGGTTTTTTTTTCAGATTTTTTGTTGAAATTTAGTAAGAGTTTATTGATTTTTTTTTTTAAATGCTATTTTAAAATGTTAAAGTTATTATAATACATTCCCCATAGTTTGGTAACATTTGGTTGTGGGAGCTGCAGAAGATCTGGAAGGTTTCTATTCATTCAGGGTATATGCTATATAGGCAACAGTTCCTTACTGTTTATATTACATTTACAAATATGTCCTATTAAAAACCAATGATCTGATTAATGGTTTGTTTTAATAGGCTTTCCATGGATAATGCAGCTCAGTAAAGAAAAAGTCACTATACCTTTAGCATGTAAAATCTATGTATTGTGTTTCGGCAAGCTTTCCTTTAATAGTTGACTTCCTTGATTTATTAATAGTTAAGTGACAAGTAAGAATGAGCATAGTTTTACTGCCTATCATAGTTTATTATTTATTAAGAAATCAGGATTAATGCCTAAAATGCTGATCTCCTTCCCTGTCCTGGTACTGATGTTGCCTTTGTTTTCTTTTCCACCATCAACTACAACTATATTTGATCAATAATGATTAATCAGTAGTAGTTAAAGTTGGAATTATGAAAGTCTTTCATATAAATTGGTGAAGAGATAACCTGGGAAATAGCCATCATTGTCAATGTTTACATTAATGTTGTGATGGCAGTAATGGCATTAAGTAAGCTTTCCTTATTGCTTAAATTACACATTCAGAGTCCTAAATAATCAACTGAATTTGCAAGACATGTAATGTTTAGGATATAATGTAAAATTTACCAAACATTTTTTAATTATTATGCTGCACAATTTTCAGTGGTATATCAGGTAATAACTATTAACTAATACCAGCGAAACATTTGTAAATATAATTCAGTTGAACTCTAGATTCATATAGCTATTTTGAAAACTAACCTTATTAGTGGTTAAATATTTGCCATTTTTGGTAATACAATTTCAGTTTGTTTATATTAGAATGACATCTATTGAAGATTTGAGATTTATTTGAGTAAATTTGAAGTATAAAACTGATTTTAATGTCAGTTAAAATTATTGTCAGTTAAAATTATTACATTTTATTTGAAAATAGATTATTTCAGTTTAAAAAGTTTAATCATGTTACATATAAATCATCTGAAATGTTATGATCATGCAGTGGCTCATACAATATGGCATTTCATAATTTCAGGCTGTTTCAGGAAAAATATAGATATAAAAGTGAATTATAGGAACCTTTTCTCATGTGAATTTACTAAAAAATTGTCAAGGTTCAATTAGCTATTTCTTCACATTTTGGACAAATTACTTTTACTAAGAACAAGAGTAATTTTGCTTATGAACCACCAATCTTATTACTGTTTATTTATTTCTTAAGGGACTATATTCAGTTATGTTTCTTTAATGACAGAACATTCTATAGTGGGCACCAGTTGGGGTGGGAGTGGCAGTTTGGTGGAGTAAAACAGAGAGCAAAGGAAAGTTTTGTTCCATGAACTCCATTTATGTAAAGTTAAACATAAGTCCTTTTAAGTGGAAATAATGTGGACCAGGAAACTGAATAGGTCAATTGAATGACTAAAAACCTCCCATGAATCAATAATTTAGATATTGGCTAGTAAATAAAATGGATAAATAGAGAATAAAACAATTAAATCAGAAATGCTTGTCTTTGGGGTTAAGAGGGGAAAAAAAAAACAAAATTACATTTTTTAAAAAAGAAACTTGATAACTGATTTTACATCAATGTTAAATTTCTGACATGATAGTTAGAATATCACATTTCTTGCACAGAAGAGAAAATTTTGAGGGTACATTATTTTCATATATTCCAAGTTGAAAACTATCAATGAAAACTTTCATTGATAGAATTTTATGTATATATGTACAGATGTTGGTCAAAGGCTCCAATAAAATTTACCATGCCATACAATCAATTGGAAACCTATTGTTTTTGGAGCTGGCCAATAGAGTTCCATGTGGTTTTTCTCGCTACCAAATGGGTTTAAATTTTAGTCCTTATAAAATACAGTTGAGACACTATAGAACAATTGTTGGAATGGATTTGAATACTCAACTGAGTTTTTAAACAACCCTTCTTAAGAAGCAGGTGGAAAATGAAATAATTTTTCTTATGTTAAACCATAGGCCTATGCAGCAATAATAGTTTGCCTCAATATTAGAATGCAATCTACTGTTTAGAGAATTGCTAATGCAACATTTTGGAAGTTCTTCCACATTGACCATACTGCTGTCTATGCAGTATGCTAATTTCATATTTTAACATTTTACTTTATTTACAGTCTTTTTGTAGGGTGGATAGATACTGTGGTCACCATATTGGTTGTTCACACTAGAATTAACATTTCAAATTAGGGATGCTTAATACTTGCCACAGTTACATCTGGTCTCTGCCTATAAATTTATTCTATTAGGCATTGGATCATATCATTCCCTTCCATTTTTAAATAGTTTCTCATTCCATGCTAAAAAGAAAAATGTAAGCTGTTAAAACATATGCTCTGGTCACCAGTAGTCAGAAAAAGAACCCTTGATGGCACATAATTTTGTACTTGTATATTTATTCTCTAATTTTTCTTTATTAGAAAAGTTTATTTCCATATGGATAACTATGCCTTTGTGTTCCAGTGGGAAGAAATTAGTGGACTGGATGAAAACTACACACCTATACGAACATACCAGGTATGCCAAGTCATGGAACCCAACCAAAATAATTGGCTGAGGACTAACTGGATCACGAAAGGCAATGCACAAAGGATTTTTGTAGAACTAAAATTCACTCTGAGGGATTGTAATAGCCTTCCTGGAGTCCTGGGGACATGTAAAGAAACATTCAACTTGCATTATTATGAAACAGACTATGACACTGGAAGGAGTATCAGAGAAAGCCAATATGTAAAAATAGACACTATTGCGGCTGATGAAAGCTTTACCCAAGGTGACCTTGGGGAGAGAAAAATGAAACTTAATACAGAAGTGAGAGAGATTGGACCTCTGTCCAAGAAAGGATTCTACCTTGCATTTCAGGATGTAGGGGCTTGCATTGCTCTGGTTTCTGTCAAAGTGTACTATAAGAAGTGCTGGTCCATTATTGAGAACTTAGCAATTTTTCCAGACACAGTAACTGGGTCAGAGTTCTCCTCCTTAGTTGAAGTCCGAGGAACCTGTGTCAGTAGTGCGGAAGAAGAAGCAGAAAACTCTCCTAGAATGCATTGTAGTGCAGAAGGAGAATGGTTAGTGCCAATTGGGAAGTGTATCTGCAAAGCTGGTTTCCAGCAAAAAGGAGACATGTGCGAACGTAAGTAGAAAACATGTTTACATTGTTACTTTTTTTTTGTTACTGTTTTTAACAAATGCCTCTTTAATGGAAGTGTTGCCTTACTTAATTCACAGAAGCCAGAAATTGGAGTGTCTGATGCTAAAGAAACAAATTCTGTTTGGGAATGGAAATCAATAATTGGATGTTGCATTTAGAAAAGCCATGAAAGTAACTGTTAAACTAAACAGTAGTTTACCTTTCCTAATGCTATTACATACAAGCAGTCACATAACATTTTATAAGAGATAGGCCAAAAAAGCTATTTAGTACTTAATGATTCTTTAAAATAACACTTGAGAAAAATGTGTTTTGCAGAGAGGGTATCATGAATAATCCAAGGATTAGTTGCAGTATATTCAGTAGATAATTTGGGAAACTGGGGGGAAACTTTTAAAAATATAATGTGTTTCTGATTAACATACTGAAAAGCAGCTCAGAATGTAGTATTGATATGAAAGTTAAGGATATGTAGATTTAAAAAAAGAAAAGAAAAATAAAAGGGGCACAATAAATAGTTTCTTTAAACACTCATGTCTGAAATCTTGGAATATAACTCAGGGCTGAAAACAGCCAACAGTAGAATAGAATAGAAAACGGGCAGCATACCTGTTTTCCCCTTTTACTTTTTGCAGTCCTTGACATGCTGTAAAAGTTTGGATGATTTCCTGAGCAGATTTTGAATTAAGACTTAGGAATTGCAAAATATAGAAAGACATTTCTTTTCGTCTGCAAAACCACTTCTATCAGTGGAACCAAATTATTATGGAATCCTTTTCTTTATCTGGAAGAAGGAGATAGAATTTGATCTGAAAGACCCTTTTCAGAAATTACAAGTTCACAAGTTGTGTATAGATATTATTTGTCAAAGACCAACAAAATGTTGACTTTGTGTGTGCAGGGGGCACAGATACACCCCTTTAGAATAAACGTTCAGTTTTATTAGTTAGGCTGGGGGGCTGCTTTCCAAGAAATACCAGACTAAATTGAATATATAATAATGGGTTTGATTAGTGTTGCCATGTATGATTTTCTCTTTTTGTAAAGAGAAATTCAATTTACATTAAAACATCAAGTTGATAACATCTGAAAGTCACAGACAGCTGAAGTCTTAGCTTTTGAACTTCTGTCAAAGGTTATGGTTATCTACAGTGAAAAGTAGATGTTTCATTAGCTATTTACCATTTGGTCTGACTGGTGATGGAGGAGACAAGTAGGGCATTTTCAGGGAAGTTACCTGTCATGAAACATATTTTCTGTGACATGGGTAGTCCTCTTTTAGCAACCACAATTAAGATCAGAAACTTGGTAAGTGAAATTGTAACACTGCTTATGATCTTATTTCAGCTTTTCTTTTCTTTTTTTTATAGACCAGCAAGGTCATAAAATGCAAGGATTGATAATAAAATTTACTTTTTCATCACTGCTATAACTGCAAATGGTGACTAAACAAAGCAGTTGCTAAATGAGGACTTCCTGGTTTTCTTCATTCTTGCTTTTCAAACTCAAACACTCAAACAAATTTGTTAGCATTGGGTAACAGCTAAATATTAAAAAGGATATTTCAAATATTGAAAAGCTACCCGTGCAAATTAGTTCCATGCCTACATCTTGATTCTGCCTAAAACGTTTGCATAATGCTGTGTGTTCATCAGATTTCATGATGAGAGTTAGGTTTTCCCACCCAATCTTTAATGATTTTTAAAAAAATGATTTTAAAAAATTTTTTAATTTTTTTTTTGCAGTGATTAAAATAATGTATAATGGCATTTTAAACATTATTGTTTAGGGGAAAAAAACTTGTTAGAATTAAAAGTTAAGGCAGAAGATTGATGGAGATACAGCTGTTATGATTAGAATTCAAGTAAATTGTTTATTAAATAGGGTTCTTAATGTTAAACTTCAGTGATGTTAACTGAAGCATTAAATGATAACTAGCAGTTGAGTGTCTCTCTTGTGTTCATTTTGTAAGAATGCTTCTCATCCCGGCTTGCTGCCAGAGAAACTGCTAAAAGAATATATTCTGTTGGAAGTGTTCCAGAATCGAGGGGGGAGGGTTTCCTATCATTTCTGTTCTTTCAAAATGAAGATTTATTTTACATTTGTTGTGAGAAATACATGATTAGTAACTACTACCTATATTAAAAATGTAAGCTGACGAAAATTTGAGGCACATATCTTTCATTAATTCCTTGGCTCTTATACTTAGGACTTTCTCAGTGATAGCATTAATGTTTAAACAGGTGGTTACAAATGGATACTATATAATGATAGCATTCATGGTGAAACTGGTAGTTTGAGACAATCATAGGATCAAATTTGTTATAAACCTAATCCTACTATTAATTCAGTGGAATATTTTGTTTTTGTAAAACTTGTAGAACGCATCCAAAAATCAAATCGTTCTGTGATTTATTTTAGTCTTTAATTGATTTGTAAGCTTTGCGTTTTATATATAATATTTTTACTCTCATATAAAATATTTATGGATCATGTAAAAATGAATGTTTGCACTGTAGTTCTGACTCTGACATTTTAATTTCCATATATATTTACCCAGATCTACATATATTTCAAAGCAGGTTTTTGAATTTGCAAAATTAATAATATATTCTGAGAAAAAAAAAAAACACACACACCCAAAGAGCCTGATTTAAACTTCTTCTCCCAAAAAGAGTAATTAATATCTTAACTTTTGATGTTGCAGAATGTAATATTGTCCCTAATCCTAGATGGATTACAAAAGAAAATCTTTTATTTGTAATTTCTTTTTATGAATTGGCTAATAAGTAAAATGAGTCTAAAACTCAAGTACATTTCAGTAAATTGTGTGTGTGTGTGTGTGTGTGTGTGTGTGTGTGTGTGTTTAGGATAGTTGTTCAGAGAATTAGTTTTGCAATACTCTTGTTTAAATATTTATAAATTGCAGATTACCAAACATTCTAAGGAAGTTTCTAAATTATATGAATAATATCGAACTAAAATATAAAATATATTTGAAAATCCTGGTTAAAAGCATATTTTCAAAATTTATTGGAAAGCTTTGTTAAAGGCTTAAAACAGCATTAATTTCAAGTTTTCTAAAGGAAATATGATATTTTAGCAAAGAAGGAACAGCTAAAATTAATTACATGATTCCGACCTGTCTCCATATGAAGTCACCAGCAACCAAGCAAAGGTGTGTAGAGTATTAATAAATAGTAAAGATTGAGCAAATATTAATGTACTCAGATAGCTCAGATGTAACATTTGTTTTATTCCCACAGTTTTGTATGTCACTAGAATCAAATCAACAGATGTTAATGTTGCTACAGTATATTTTTTCAGGGTGCTGTTGTGCTATATAAATCATTGCTGGGTACAATGTGTTATAGTATGCAGAGAGCATTAGCTTGTGCACCACAGCATTTACACAAATTTAACCATTTTGCATATAAAACATTGTGAGATAAAACTTAAATTTCACATTCACTGAAAGTATTGAAGGGAGTAGATAGATATTCAGAAAAGGGATTTTTTTCTGTCTTTGATTTATCTATCAAATTGCAACTTCTGATATATATTTCACCATATTAATTGTGCTATTTTGTCTCTTGCACTTAAACCTTTAAGGGTTTTAATGGCCAAATATGTATAAGCTATACTGTAGAAATTTTTTTGCAGATTTTTTTTTTCAAATGCAAATTAGAACTTTTTGTTTAGTATTGCATCTATCTAATAAGATATGCACTCTAATTTCTTGGACTTTTGCCCAGTCATTACAGTATCCCTTCCTCCCTCATTCTCTCTCTTTCCTTCTCTCTTTTTTAGTGAAACGGTAGGAAAGAAATGGCACCATTAAATTAGAAGGAGCTTACCTGATATGAATAGATTAAGTAAGATAGACATATTTCTGTTATTGATAATAGTAGTGTTTCTAGAAGATATTTCTGCAAATGTAATTGTTAAATAAATTGAAATTTGGGGAAATACTGTACCCTAAGAATACTTTCTTGCTGGTAGAACTCTCATTGTACTATATTCTATAATATATAATTAACATAAAGAATATAATGTTAAAATTAATGAATTGTTTTTCTTGAATAAAAAACCCGATGCTCCATTCTTTTGTTATTTAAAAATGAAAATAATATTAAATTGCTCATACACAGTTATAAAATACTAGGCTGTTCATGACCCATCGGGTCATTGTTTTAGTTGTGTCATCATTTCACAGATAATTACTTACCTACACAGATCAATAGAATGACCATGGGTGGGCAAAAAAGCAGTAGAAGAGAGAGCCATTTCCATATTTCTTCTGGCTTCCCTACTGACTTTTCTTGTGGAAAGCTTGTAGGGAAAGAGTAATGGCAGGAAAAATCGCAACATGCTGGATAAATCTCACCACCCAGGCACTGTCTCTCCAATCTCTCTGTGCACATGCCATGTTGGGCACTTACATATCCTTGTGCACCTTCCCCAACCCATATAACAACCTTGTACACCCTCCCTCATCTACGCTACATTCTTGTGCACTTTCCCAGACTTACATCCTTGTGATCTTGCCCAACTGCTCTACTCTTGCCCACCATTGCTGACCGTTGTCACATCTCTCAGGCACCCTCTTATCTCCCCTCCCAACAACATCCACTTAGATGCCTGCTGGCCTTCGACTTGCAACTTCCCACCAGCTTCCCCACTGACTTTGTACTTTGCTTGGGGGAAACAGGAAGTTTTGAAAATGACCATCAGGTGACCACAGCAGCGCATTGGTGTTGGTACAACTTTTTCAAATTTCAATCCCATGGGAGTAATGGGTCTTAGATTTGGGGCACATTCTGTAAGTTTGCAAATTTGTGGCACTTTGGTTTGACAATAGTCACCCTATAATGTACTGGTTCCCTCAGTTGAAGGTTACAAACAGACAGACAAAAATGTTTTAGTAATATAGAGATTTCATATATTTAAATTATTTTTTTTCAATGTGCATGAAATTAACT